CTAGTTATCGCCGCTTATCAAAATTGTACTTCACAATTGTGATGATATATGTTTGAATTTTCTTAACTATATATGAAATAACGATATAATTGAGAACATATGTTTTGTTACCAACTTGTCATACAATGGATTAGGTAGAGGGTCTCAATTCCGGAATTTGTATTGTCGACGATGGAAGATATATTTTCGTAGTTTATGAGGCAAATCCTAGCAATGTCAAAATCAATACAAAAACTATATTATATTGAATAGGTATATAGGTAGAATAATCAAATAGGATTCATAGCCTCGTGTATATATATACAAACAAAGAACTCCTCATAATAAGGCTAAACTAAAAATTCTGAGGTCAATTTTGATTATGTTTTGTGTATGTGAACGATATTTAAAACGAAAAGTAAATGAGTGAAACGAAAATAGTACTATTACACATTACGGTGGCTACCCGGGATTGTGACGGTGGAAGAACAAATGCACTCATATGTTGTGGTGTTTTCAGATTATTCCTTCTCGGTTTCTGTTTGAGATGGGAAAGAAGAAAAACTCTGTTTTTGATTTTTATTACTTAATAAAATATTCAGTGAGAAAACAAAACAAAAACTCATTTTTTATACGGAGATTGCTAGTTTTGTACACGAGATTGTAAACTGTAAAGTAGCCATGAAGTCCAAAACCACCACATGTGAACGGCCAGAGAGTAGTTTGTCGTATATATATTCAGAAACTTTTAGTTTGTTTTCTTTGTTGTTAAGCAGAATACATGTTAATTTATTAGCTAGATCATTGATTCGTTGTGTTGGAGCATATAGTCCTTCACATGGATGCATTATTTGTATGAATATATTTTCCGCTACGTTTATTGGCAGTGTATAAACATTATCATTTTGACTGTCTTCTTTCAAATCTTTGACTACTCTGCTACATTGATATACACATACAAATATACAACAATGTTATTTGTTTGTTATCGTTAAATATGATTATGATATCTAAAGATCAGATTAGATCTACATATATAGCATATAATCAAACTTCCACCTGAATCCAGAAACAATTAAGTAAATATGATTGAAATCCAAGTTGGTGCATGTTGCCGCCATCTTTGATTATTCCAAATCATTGTTAGGTTGAATATCCCACTTGCAG